GGGATCGGCGGGATGCGGGATGCAGTGGGATCGGTGGGATGCAGGGAGCGGGCACGCCGGGATCGGCGGGATGCGGGATGCAGTGAGCATGCTCCCGATCCCAGCCTACGGCATCAGCCCCGCGCTCCAGCCGAGACACAACGTCTGGAATAAACCTTCCCGGAGCAGCAGGAGGGAGGATCCTTCTTCTTCCCCTCCCCGCTCCCTCAGGGCCGTGACATCCCACCTGCCGCGCAGGAGCTGCTCCTGCTGCGGCTCAGCTTTTCAGGGAGGGAGGGATGGGAATGTCTCTGCTGAATCCCAGATCCTTGTCTAGGATATGGTTTTTCCTTTTTTTTTCCCCCTTTTTTTTTTTTTTTCCCGTGGCAAGATTGGCTAATCCCAGCCAGGCAAAAATAGCTCTGCAGCAAATCAGCTGCTGGAGAGCTGCTGTCCCACATGCAGCAGCTTCTGCCCTATTATTTCGCCGCTTCCAGGGGGGGGAAGCTGCTGGAAAATGGTAATTTGTTTATTTTCGTGCCGACTGGAACCCAGCTGGCCTTCCCTCCTTTGCCAAGGGGCTGTTCAGGCTCTGCCTCACTTGCATCATTCCCGATTTAATCCCTCTGCAGCAGCCTGGGGAGCGTGTCCCCAGCGCTCCGGCCTTGTCCCTGTTCCCTGCCCTGCTGCCCAGATCCCTCTGCCTCTTCCCAGGTTTCATTCCCGAGGCAGGAGCGAGGACACCCCTGGGTGGTGCTGAGGGCTCTGCAGGAGAAATGCCTCTGGAAGGCTTGGCTGGCTGTGGGGAGTTTGTTGCTGGCACGGGAAGTGTGGGACAGAGCTCGGTCAGGTTGGTGCTGGGCTGGCCAGGAGCTACACCAGCTTTATCCCAGATTCCCTAGGAAGCTTTGGATCAGTGTTTTCCTTCCTGTGCCTCACTTTCTATACTTCTCTGAGCAACCTGGGCTAGTGGAAGGTGTCCCTGACCCATGGCAGGGGGTGGAATGAGATGAGTTTTAAGGTCCCTTCCAACCCAAACCACTCCACGATTCCCATCTAAACCTCCATTTCCTTTCTATACCTCTCTCTCTCTCCTTTCTACTCCATTAAAACCCTGTTGGCACAGCACTCCAGGGAAGCCTGAGGCTGGCAAAGATCCACCAGCCCAAAACTCTGCTCTCAGAGAGAAATCAAACCCCTCCTGGAAACCCAAGGGCTTGGCTGAGCCCACCCTGGGGGCCAGCGGAAGGACAAGCCGTGTCCTGGGGGCTGGGAGACAGAGGGGCTTAGAAGAAGGATGCAGCTGGAGCTGGGATGAACAGAGCCAGGCTCATCCAAGTGCTGGGATGAACAGAGCCAGGCTCATCCCAGTGCTGGGAAGAACAGGAGCCCCTTTCTTGGCGGGCAGGGGCCGTACGTGCCCACGGCACACACGGCACAGTGTCTGGGAATACTGGGGCTCTGTGGGGTTTGGATGCAGCTGGAGCAGGGTGGGACAGCCCTGGAAGCCCCTCGGGGCTGCAGGAAAGGGTTGGGAAGGGCTCTGTGTGCCCAGAGGGATTTAGAGCTGGATCCCAGAATAGCTGGGGTTGGAAGGGACCTCTGGAGATCACCCAGTCCGACCGCCCTCCCCAGGCAGGGTCACCGAGGCAGGTGACATTCCAGGTGGGTTTGGAATGTCTCCAGAGAGGGAGATTCCACTCCCTCCCTGTGCAGACTCCGCTCCCCCTGGGTTTGGGGGACAAGGCTGGGAATGGGGGCTCTGCTCCCTCAGGGGGTTCGGAGCACTCCGAGCTCACAGGGATGTTTTTTGGCACCTCTGCAGTGGCTGTGAGGGTGGAAGGTGCCACTTTGGCACCTCCTGTCACCCACACATCACTTCTCACAAGGTTGGCACCCATTTGGATTGACTGCATCCCAATGACTCTGCTTTCCCTGGCAAATTCCTGGCAAAGCAGCATTGCTCTGTCTGGGGAGACACTGCCTGAGTCAGAGGCTGGGAAGGAGTCCATCCGTCCATCCTTCTCTCTATCCATCCATCCATCCATCCCTTCCTCCCTCTATGCATCCCTCCATCCATCCATCCATCCCTCCCTCCCTCCATCCATCCATCCCTCCCTCCCTATTTCCATCCCTACATCCATGTTAACCTCCCTGTACTCCACACCCCCTCCTTGCCCTACACACAGAGGGTTCCCAAAAGCATCCCAAAAATTTTCCAAGCCCTCAGAGCAGCTCCCAAAACTCCTTTCTCCAGCCAACTCCCCCCCCCTGGAGTTCACATTCCCGTTGCCCCTGGATTCCAGGGCATGACCCACACTCTCCTCTCCATGCCCTGGGAGTTTCTCACGGGAAGAAATAAAACTCTCCCTGGTTTTTTGGGGGGTTTCTTGCAGGGAACAAACCTGGGGAAATCCTCGTCCTGCCATTCTTCCTTCACATCCACGTTTTCCATCCGCAGCGTGGCTTCCGTGGTTCCCATCGTGCTCAGGGAAGGGCTGGAGGCAGCAGATCCCTCAGGGAAGGGCTCAGGCTGGAATGTGAAGGCACAGAGGTTGGCACGGAGCATCCTGACCCGGGAGCAGGTACCTCTGGCACCACATTCCCTGGAGAAGCAGCGGGAGAGCTGCTTGTTTGGGGAAAAAAGGAGCAAAACGTGGGATTTTGTGGCTAAATCACACGTTTTGGACCGGAAAGGGGAGGGGAGGTTGGCCCTGGGTCAAAGCAATGGATCCCAGCTCGTGTCCCTGTGGATCAGCACTGCCTGGGCTCACATCCACACCTTTTTTTCCTTGTGGCTTCTCTTTCAATCCCAATCCTGATATAAACACCTCTGTGGAGGGAGATGAGATGTGGCTGAGAGGGCAGAGCAGTGTGAGCTCCTCCCAGGCTGCTCCCAACCTGCTTTGGAAGCAAATTCCATGGTGCTGCTCTGGATGGAAGTTACAGGCTCTGGCTCTGCAGGGAAATTCCTGCCACTGCTGCCTGCTCTGTGCTCCATCCCTGCGTGTCCCTGCTCCCAAAGACACCTGGAGGAGGAGGAGGAGGCTGCACAGGGATGCTGAGTGTCCTTCCACACCCCTGAGGGATCCCCATCACTGCCCTGCTCCCAGATAAACCAACCCAGACTCCAAAAAACTGGAGCAGCTCGACTGGAGGCAGGGTGGGGGGATGTTCCCAGTCTGGGCCTTCTCCTGCACTGGTAGGAACGAGCTGAGATCCAGGAATCCTGGTTTTCACCCACACTGACCCCCCAGGGGCACGAGGGGCCCTTAAACCACATTTATATATTCTTTTTTTTGCCTTCACTAGAAAGTTTCTGCTCCCAGACAGCAAAAATTGGATGTTTGTCCCTAATTCCTTGGGCCTGCACCTGCAGCTCCCAAAAAAAGTCTGGCTCAGGACTTGGGACCAGTCCCAGCAGGCCCAGCAATAGTTGGGGAGAGCAGACACACCATTCCCAGCTGGATCCTGCCCTGAGGGAACAAGGTCAGACCTGACCTTCTCTAGAACATCCTCAGGTGGAATCAGCTCCTGAGCTGGGCAGGGGCATCATCCCACCCACTGCAGGATGGTTGGGAATGTTCCTCCTGGCTCAGCCTTTGAATTATTCCAGGCACTGGCTGGATAGGAACATATTTCTGCCAGGATAAGGGATGGAGGGTGATTTCCTGGGTGGATGGGGCTGCTCTGTCCATCCCCCAGGGCAGGGACATCAGCACCAAGCAGGGTTTGCCCATTGCTAGGAGGCTCTTCCCGAGAGCCAGAGCTTTTCCTGCTTCCCTTGGAGAGAAATCTCTGTGAATTTTGCTTTGAAGGAACGAGGCCTGAGTAAATCCAGCATCCCTCTGTATTCCAGGCCCTGGATCAGCAAAAAAAGAGCTGGCTGTCAGCATTGCAGGGCTCTCTCCCTGCCCGGATCTCCCAGAATCCATCCTGGATTTCCCCCCCCCCAGCCCACACCTGGCTCAGGGGGTGCCCCCACACCTCTCCCAATTTTTTATTTCCTTGAAATTCAGACCAAATAGATCCTCTGGAGCTCCGGCAGAGATCCCACCTTCCCCCTCCCTCCCCGTCAGCTGCTTTCTGCCAACCCTGGAGGCATCATGGAGGGAGGGAGGGAAGGAAAGGAAAGGAAAGGCAGCGAAGCCAAGCCCGGGCGGGAGGATTTTCCCGGTGTGCCCCCTCTCTCCCGGCCGGTGCCCTACTCACCGCTGCCGGTGCTTAGCGAGGAACAAAGCTGATGCCGCCCGTCTCCCGGCTCGGCATTCCTCCCGATGGGAGAGAGCGCTCAGGAGGCGCAGCCCCTGGATCCGGATGCGGATGGAAGGCGGGGATGCATCCAGGTCGGCTTCTCGCACGGCATCCGTGGCTTTGTGCTTCGCTCGGGAAAGAGGGATGGATGGAGGGCAGTTATTTGTATTCTTCCATGGCTGCTGCTTCCTCTGCCGCCTCCCTCCCCTCCCTTCCCTCCCCTCCCCTCCAAGGTATTTTATTCCGATTTTCCGCCCGCAGCTGGCTAAGCCTCGGCTGCCCTAAGGCAGCTAATTCCCTGCTTTTGTGTGTGTGAGGATGGCGCTGGGGACAGGGAGGGGAGTCTGGAGGAGGGAGGTGGGGACAGGAGCCCGAAGGACCCCCCTGCCAGTGCCAGCGCTCCTCCAATGGGCTGCGAGGCACCGAATCTCTGCCCGCATCCTTCCTCCGGATGGATCCGGCTGGGGCTGCCAGGGGCTGAGCACACCCTCTCCTTGCAGCGGGAGACAGGGATGCCCGTCATCCTGGTCCTGGAGGAGGGGTGGGAGGGATTTTAATGCGGTGCATCATTCCCCGAGGAAGTAAAAGGGGATGCAGGATTTAAGGGTCCAGCTCGCAGGGCTGATTTGTCCCCAGACCTCAGGCACTGGGGCCGGGGTCTGGACAGACAGACGTGCCAGAAGGTCCTGCTCATCCCAGGAGGATGAACCCCTGCTCCCAGGATGTCCATAACTGCATCCAGACCCTGAGCCCTGCTGGTTCCTGCAAATCTGAAGGTGACTGAAGACACCGGGATTTTCCTCTGCTCCAGACCCGACAGGAAGGGGGAGCCAGGTGGGAATTGGGGTCTGCTCCCAGGGAACAAGGGACTGGACAAGAGGGAACAGCCTCAGGCTGCACCAGGAGAGGTTCAGGTTGGATGTCAAGGAAAGTTTTTGCACTGAAAAGGTTGTCTTCAATAATGCAGACAAGGAAAACATCTCAGGAAGACCAACTGGGAGAGCTGGGGGGGTTCACCTGGAGAAGGGAAGGCTCCAGGGACACCTGAGAGCCTCTTCCAGGGCCTAAAGGGGCTCCAAGAAAGCTGGAGAGGGACTTTGGACAAGGGATGGAGGGACAGGACAAGGGGGAATGGCTTCCCAGTGCCAGAGGGCAGGGATAGATGGGATATTGGGAAGGAATTCTGGGCTTTGAGGGTGGGGAGGGGCTGGGATGGAATTCCCAGAGAAACTGTGGCTGCCCCATCCCTGGGAGTGTCCAAGGCCAGGTTGGAGCACCCTGGGATAGTGAGAGGTGTCCCTGCCCAAGGCAGGGGGTGAGACTGGATGGGCCTTAAGGTCCCTTCCCACCCAAACCATCCTGGGATTCTCTGTTAGAAGCTGACAGAAGATCCATGGGGACAGGAACTATTAGGAAGTCTGTAGCACCTGATGGCTCCAAAGTTAATTGTCAAAGTCTTCAGGGTCACCTCTGCTGAATATTTGCCTTTTCCCTTTCTTTTTTCCATGAAAAATGTTCTTTTCCCGTTTCCCGGAGCATCCCGAGCCTGCCGTGGCAGCACACGTGTGGAATGTGAATGCCATCTACTGGCTGCTGTCCCGGGCCTTGGAGCAGGTGTTCCCTGTCCAAACTCCATCCATCTGATCCCGCAGGAATTTCATTGAGCACTCAGTGAGTCGGCCCAGCTCTGCTTGCCAGGGACAGCGGATTTGTTGGGACTCCCTTTCCCTCAGGGATTCCAGGATGTGCACAGCGAGCCCTGCCCCCGGCTCCCTTCCCAGCACTGCAATTCCTCTGGGAATTCCGTGCCGAGCCCAGCTCCTGCAGAGTCCTGCCCCTCTGGAGGAGGCAACATCCAGGATCGGGTCCTTCCTGGGGCTGGGTGTTTTCCCAAGCAGCTTTTTCCAGTCTCTCTCCCATCTCCCCGTACTCTTTCCCCTGGAATAACACATTCCCTGTTCCCTCCCAGTGTGTTTTTCCCACCCTACGAGCCAAACCCTCCCGCGAGGGGGAGGATGTGACCCTTTTGGAAAGTCACTGCCTGTCACAGGAGCATCCTGCTTTTATTTCCCTGGATTTGGAGCTCGTTTTTAGGCGGTGCCCACTGGGACATTCCGCAAGCCCCGCGGGTCACAGCGACGCAGATCCCCCAAAAATCCCTTTCCTACCTGTATAAACCCGCCACAGGAATCACTGGCTCGTCCAGCGGTGCCGATGGCTTTGACATTCCAGCAAATCCAGCTTTTCCCGGCGCTGGATCCATGGGCGGCCGCGGGCGATGCGCGGCGCGGGCTCCAGAGGGCCCCGCGCACCAGGAGATGGACGGAGGGAGATTCCCTGCGGGTTTTTCCTCCACTGGGAAACCAGAAAGGGTAAGTTCACACCTCCCTCCCAGCCTTAAAGACGGGCTGAGGTGTTGGTTTTTT